ATCTTTTTTGTTATGGCACATCATTTCAAAAAGGTTGCGACCCCTGAGATAGACTGTTCGGCCGCACGAGGCCGACATGGAAACGCAGAAAACGATAACGGGTCCCTAGGTGGGTAGATCTGCAAACTAAACGATCTAGGGGGGCAAACGGCTCCGTGTTTACGCCTATACGATCATTTCCTGATAACGTTGAAACAATAGCCCTCCCTCTCCTGCTCAGATCAGCTGCTGGGCTATCAGAAGAGGGGGAGGAAAAGAGAGGCTCCGTTTTTTATTATTATATTCCCCCTCTTCTGATAGCCCAGCAGCTGATCTGAGCAGGAGAGGGAGGGCTATTGTTTCAACGTTANGTGTAGCAGCTGGTATAAACCAGTGCCATGTTAACAAACATTGCAGCGCATGAGGGCAAAGATTCGGAGTCACGTGAAGTCACGTTATTGGTTGAATTTTTGAAACAGGGTGTTTTACATCCAGTCACATCCCCAGCAACAGCCGTGGTCTCGACCATGGATGTATAATAAGAACGGTCTTGACATAAAATCTAATGACCTATAGGACCGAGACAAGACCGAGACCAAATACAGTCGATTCCGAGACAAGACCAATACCGGTATCGAGTACTACAACACTTCTCTCTAGTCAAGCATGCTGATCTTTTCTTCTTCTTTGAGTATATTTGGAAATTGCAAACCAATTGTAAAGGTGCATTCCACCTCCTACTACTTGTATATCTTAGTGTGAAGCTACTACGTTCTTTAGTCAAGGAATAGGGTTTCGTATTATCAACAGGTAAATCATTGCCTACAAAGACAGTAGGCTACATATCTATAGACTATTCCAATGATCTGCAACACAATAATCAGCACGGGACAGACCAGACTCCCCGGGCGTCAGGCCAGTCTCGCGCCACACCGATACGGAGCTGAGAGTCAGAAGGCGGGTCAAAGTCCAGCTCCCTCTGCTGATCCTGGTTCAGATCCTCCAGTAAGAGGAGTCGACCCGGCAGATCCTCCTCCAGACGCTGCAGAGCTGAGAGCAATAGGACAACACACTGGTCAACTGGTTAGTATAGGTCCATTTTTACACCGGGTTCATAGTCCCGCCTCCCCCATGCTTTTCTGATTCCATTCGTTGTTCATTGTATTATTTCTTCATAAGACTCCACCTGGTCTAAAATCTAAATCTGAAAAAGTTATCAATTTTCTAATAGATCAGATTTGAAAAACCTAATTTGGTCTTTGTGGTGACAAAATAAAGGGTCTGTTTTTCTTTCTGTTCCTATACATCCAGTGCGATTCCCGCTATGTTTTCAGGTCGATAGATTTAAATGTATTGACCAAGGAGGATATTTGTTTTACAGATACTTCACATATGCATCCATACTGGGTCAATGAGGCAGCTTGTTCAGGGAAGGGCCACTACTGCAGATGTCACAACACATTTTAGTGTCATTTGATATTGTGCATGCTTTCATATCTGATGGAGTGTGGGAAGGCAGATGATTTTGGAGACAGTAACGTCCCGTCCACACGGCGGCGTGCGTTGAAGCTTCAACGCAGCTTCCCATTCACTTTGAATGGGGTGACGTCACGCTTTGCCGAACTGCATTGTGGTTCCGTCGCGTCGCTTTGCCTCCGTTGCTCGCTTCAAAAGTTGAGAAAAGTTCAACNGTTGACCGGTGAAAACAAATCTAACTGAAACTCTGCCGCACGGTTCCCTCGTCCCTTGGAAGAGGCGGAGAGGTGGGTGTTTGTCATCTGCTGGTGGACTACCAAAGAGATTTACAGCAGGAGCAAACGCTTGCCTCTGGGAGGGAGAAAAAGAGCCAGAGCGTCCACAGCGGAGAATAAACAGAAGGGCAACCATGCGCGGGAAGTCGTCTTCGCTGGTTTTGTGGCAGGACTACAGCGCCACTTACAGGCCTGGCATGTGTACTACAGCGGCTCCAGCGCTTTCGAGCGGTCTCGTGTGAACGGACACGTTTCAGGTGCTTGTTGCGTTTGGTCGGAAGACTTCTGATAACGATTGCGGTCCGTTTGCGTTATCGTCCTTGTGTGGCCGGGGCTTAAGGGATATGGCCAAAAACGTTTATCACGGTATGTCCTTTTGACTATATATATATTACAATACAGTAATTGTTATGTAAATTCCTTAATAAATGGTTTCAAATCCTCATACCGTAGTTCACATCACACATTTGCCACACAAGACATGACATGAGTTAAAAACAGAAGACTAAAACAAGTAAAACCACACAAATAATGGAACGCTTTATGGTTCTTGAAAAAAAATAGTTTCAGGTTTTACAGGATGTTATGTTAACCGGGGAAAACATAAAGAGCCTGATTTAAGTCTGTGCAATGTTAATAAACATAAAAATCACAAAGGAAAAACACTTATTGTGGAGATTTGCTTCCATGATGGAAACTGCATAGCCAAATCTCCCATTTCTAGCGTGAGCTGGTTCAATTTTACAAGGCTTAAGGATAGGTTTGAGATGTTGTGAACTAATAAATGTCTTACCTTCACCTACACCATCTTCACTCTCCTGCAAAACACAAAAACTAAAATCAGCATTGTATTGTTTACTCTCAAAAACGACAACAACTCTTCCGTGGGACAACTCTGTGAGAAACTCTATGAATCATAACAACATAGTGAGGGTGACCAACAACCAGTGGCGGCCAGCCCATAGGGGGCGCCGCCCCCCCTCTTTCCACGTTTGTCATTCAAAATACAATTTTAATCAAATATTTTTATTTTTAATGAACAAGGTAAATATTGTATTGTTGGTATCAGTAAAATGTATAATCTACAATAAAATCTTGTTTAAAATTGTGTTACGATGTCTAAAGTTACTGATAAGTCACATGTTTCCTGCCTGGCAGGAAACATGTGACTTATCAGTAACTTTAGACATCGTAACACAATTTTAAACAAGATTTTATTGTAGATTATACATTTTACTGATACCAACAATACNCACTACATGATACACTTACAATATCGTGTGTAAGATACCATAGATAGACAATTTGATCTGAAAGATCCACATCATAAAAAGACACATATACAGTACGTAACATATAAATTCAATTCCCTCATATTTATTCAAAAAGTTATCCTTTTCATATAAAAACAGTAACATAGTAAGAACATAATATAAAACAACATAATATAAATGTTATGGTATATAGGTCCAAGCAACAAACCACCTTTNNNGTGTTACGATGTCTAAAGTTACTGATAAGTCACATGTTTCCTGCCTGGCCGCAGCGTGCATCATTACCCTCTCTCGTCTGGGCGCTAAGAAAGGAGCCCTCACTCAGCCCCAGCAGCATCCAACACATTGCTGACTGTTGCCATCTGTAAACTATGCCGCCGAAAAATAATTTCAGCCAATCAGCGTCGTCAGATCTGATGCTCAAAGGGCGGCAATTTCAGCGCTCGATACAGTCTGTGAATTGGTTATGGCTAGAAAGGATCCGTCTTGTGTAAAACTCTCGCGAGAATTTGCGAGTCACGTGGCTGAATGTCTACGTTTGACAGGCAGCCTTTCAGTTACGATTGTTAACATCAGTGGGCCACAGCAAATGATGGTGAGAAGCTAAACTATCTATTAATTATGTCAATTACAGGTTGTGTGGTTGTTGAAATAGGGTGTTAGCGGTCTTGCTGGTGTTCAAAGAAGAATGACAACACTGTAGATCACCAACACTATGGTTTATTTTTTATTCACAGGCAAATCAACGTTGTCGCAGTAAAAGTNCTCTTCAAACAGCTGGGGACAGATACTATGTGCCCGTGATAAATAAACACACACACATATTATTGTATATAGTTGAGTTTTGACAGCATCCATCAAACTAGATTTGTTGCCTTAATGGTCTGTTTTCTAATATTTCTGTGTTTCTGAATCACGTCTGTGTCTGCTAGGGGTGTAACGGTTCACAAACATTTCGGTTCGGTACGTACCTCGGTTTTTAGGTCACGGTCCGGTACAGCAGAATTTTTTTCCACAAAACATAAAATATATATATATTTTTAATAATTATTAAACTGTGAATAATGTATTCACTCAAATAAATACAAAATATAATAAAATAAACATTAAGGTGCAGCATTTCGATGAACTGAAATAATCTGTATTTGAACTTTACTGTACTAGTACTCACAAAACATTGGGGGTGTAACGGTACACGTACCGAAATTATTCGGTACGGACCCTTCGGTTCAGTACACGTGTGTACCGAAGTGTACCGAACGAATATAACGTTAAACGTAAAAAATTGAGAACGTGAACAACTTTTTGCAAGTAATCTAAGGTGCTGCGTCGCAGCATTCAGAGTAATTTGCTCACATTGGGTTCAACGCGTCAGAGTGACCAAGTCATTTCATTGGACGAGAGGCATACTATGAGAGCTGGTCAGAGGGATGCGTTCAAATGTAGTCAGTAATTTGAGGACCTCAAATTACTGACTACATTTGAACGCATCCCTCTGACCAGCTCTCATAGTATGCCTCTCGTCCAATGAAATGACTTGGTCACTCTGACGCGTTGAACNGTGGTGGTGGTAGTAGTAGTAGTAGTAGTTTAATTGTTATTGTACAATGCCATATCTTTTTATGCTGCTGCAACGCAAACATTTCCCAAATTGGGTTCAATAAAGTACTCCTATCTAAACGATGACGTCACTCTTTGAAGAGAGGTGCCCCCTTTAACGCTGTGTCTTTTGTTGTCTTTGTTGCGTCTCTGTCCTCCAGGAGTTTATCAGGTGAGCCTAAAGAGGAGGGGCGGGACTCCAAGCCTCGTGCGCTGCGTTTCACCTGGAGCATGAAGACCACGTCCTCCATGGAGCCGGGCGACATGATGAAGGAGATCCGCAGGGTCCTGGACGCCAACAACTGTGACTACGAGCAGCGCGAGCGCTACTCCCTGTTCTGCGTGCACGGAGACGCGCGGCAGGACAGTCTGGTGCAGTGGGAGATGGAGGTGTGCAAACTGCCCCGACTCTCACTCAACGGCGTGCGCTTTAAGAGGATCTCCGGCACGTCCATCGCCTTCAAAAACATCGCCTCCAAAGTGGCCAACGAGCTCAGGCTGTGAACAACTTCCAGTTATTCATCGAAGGAGGAAAAGCCTCTGTGGTCCTCTTTCTGCTCAGAATGACGCCCCACCAAGTGACGGCGGCCATGTTGTGTTCAGCGACTCTCTAACTGCTGTATGACTCAGAGAAAACACACATTATTATACTCTACACACTTACTATTTAATGTTATCACTAAATGTTTGCCAGTGAAACCAAATATTAAAGCTGACGGTGCAGATTTCCAGCAGGTTGTAGTTCACCCCTCAGTGATGAGATCCAGAGCAAACAGCAGGAGGACGTTTCCATCTGTCCTCTCCTGCTGCGGCGACACTCTGTTGGTTTATCACTGTTTACATGCACTTCAGATTTTTACGAAACCTTGGAAACTGAATTTTAAAACATTGTGTAAAGTGGAAACACGTCACGCGAGCTAAAGCTGATTAAACAGGGAGAGTTTTGTGGGAGAAACCTGAAGACTTCCACTTTTACTTTGCGATTTGCATGTGGGAATATTAAAGAAGCTGTTCGCATCAGTGTTTTTAAAGAAGACCAAGCTATGTCATCTGGAGTTTTAGAGGCTTAATATCATTGCTGTGCATGTAGACATATTATCAGCTTTCGCCTTCGGTTTGCTAACAGTACCTTTGTCTCTGGAGTGCAGGTAAACAGTGGAACGTGACCTCCGCTCTACCTGTGCAACTCTCCTGCTGCAACAGAAGAACACTAACTGTGAGTTCGCAGCTACAGAGTCAGCAGGCCAAGTGTGTGAACTCATGCAAGGAATTTAACTGCGATTTTTCATTGCTCTCAATACATACACACACAGAACAGCTAGAAAACAAAGCTGGAAAATGTTACCCCTATGTACAGATATAAATACATACTAAAAAGTGTCCAGCGTTTCTCGTCTTCCTTTGACAATGGCAAACAGAGATTAAAGAAAAAAAACAGTATGATTCAGACACCTAATGTATTTTAAACGACTAATTTAATGATATACACTTCCCTTAATTCAATGTTGCATGATAGGGGAGAATACTGTTTGAGCTTGGATTGGGAATTTGTGTGCATGTCCAGAAAAGCACTAGTGACACTCAATCATGATCAAGCCGCAACGGTAGCCCCCAAAAAGATGTCATCGGGCCATCAAAGAAATTGTTCATGATCATTATGGAACCACAACGGTGCAATCGGGCCTTTTGCACTCTACTCAGTGGTTAGATTACATTTTAAGGAAAAATCTGAGCAAAAGTATCTGATCTATAGGTTGGCTTTTTCTTATTGGCATATGAAGTTCACAGAAATAGATTCAGCTGGAAACTAAAAACAAATGTCTTTGTTTTTAATTGACGTGCAATTTACTAAAAAAAATATTCAAACTTGATCTGAAGAGTAGAAGTGAAGATCTTGCAAATCTTGAGGTTTTTTAATCTTTGAATTCATGACACAGAAAAGGAGGAGAGCGGAGACCCTTGACCAAGACCACCCTCTATATCGCAATGTTGACAGTACTTTTTGTATCCACCTCGTGATCCGGACCCGGTCCAAATTTGATGCGTTCTTTTTTTGCCAATGCTTCACACTTTGACAAAATGTCTTGAGAATGAGACCAGTCGTTTTTCTGTAAACAACAGACAAACCACCAAAAATAAATGTACCGAAAACACGACTTCCTTGTCGGAGGTAATAAGACAACAAACTGAAGATTCTGGTGATTTTAGGACCAACAAAACAGACAGACACACAAAGACACATCATTACCCAGTTGTATGTTCTTTATCTGTCAAATCAGTATTTCAGCTTTAATTTGTTGTGAATTAAGTCAAACAGTTAAACCTTCAATTAATTCAAACAAACTCTAACTCTTGCATACTTAGGCAGGTTTAATGATGTTTCTTTCTCGCAAATGTTTGTGTCACCTGGTCATTGTATTGAAAAGCTTTTTAAAAAAATAACATTGTTGGTTTTCCTCCTGATTTTAAAGTCCATCATTCGGGTTCTTTATGTGAACCGTTATCTTGATGCTGCCGTTTGCTGCAGATCTCCGTTTGCACAGTTGAGTTGCACAGTTTACAGTGGAGGTTATGAAGAGTGGCAAACAACCAATACAACATCCTCCCTGTTGGTTGAGAGCCTGTGACCTCTGACCTCCCCTGCTGGCTCATGTTATCACTATTGCAATAATACCGGAGCTCTTGGTAAATGATGTCAGTGGTTTAAACTCAACCTGTAACGCTTTATTAATCTTTGTATTTTACACATTTACAGCTGACAGACCGAATGTGTTTTTATTATTTTGTTATTATTGCTGTGTACAACGATACCTGTCAAGGTGAATATGTGCAGGTACAGTATTGATTAGTCTGTTTATTTGGTCCACACTGTCTCCATTCTGTGTTGGTTTTCCACCTCTGAAAATACAACCTTATTATTGTTCCAAAGCCTTTAGCAGTGAGATAAAACTTGGAGCATCAAAACATTGAGCAAACACATTTCCCCTGTTTTAGGATCAGTCTGGTGTTTTCAATCTGTTTCTGAAATTGTCCTTTAGGCTGATTCCTGGTAGATATTTCTAAATGTATTCCACCACTAAATGCCTTCTGAATGTACTGCTTTGTATTTCTGATTGCATTCAGTTGTACCAGAGGAAATGGAGCAGTTTGTGGTTTTAAGTTGTATATTTTGAGTTGTTCCCCACTAACAGAGCCTCTAACTAGCTCTATTGACTCTACAGTCTCGAGGTCCTGAGGGTTCACCGTGCAATGGTTCTCCATCACTACTGAAACTGGAGAACACTTTGTACTGTATGTTGTAGCACTTAAAACCAGGAAGGGAACAAACAATGCAAACCTCACGTCCCTGTCTGACAGGGAAGAGAGAGGTGACAAGGTGTGAATATGACGCTGCCTTCATGTCACCTTGGGAAGGACTGTAAATCTGAGCCTCTTACTTGAAAATAGCCTTCGCCTCAGCTTCCAGATAGAAACTCTTACCATGTGACCGGCAGGTTTGTCAGGCACGTCATTAACAGGAAAGTAGCAGAAGTCCAGTGTAGCCATGTTCATTTCATTTTAAATAAAAAACACAAATAAAACATGTTCATAGTCGTTTTGTGATCGTCGCTGAAGGATGAAAATACTGTTATTTGTATAATGTTTAATGACATCATTTTTAAAGTGATTATTTCTACATTTGATCCCACTGTAGCAAAAAAATTACAGATGTCAATAATGTTTTAACTGTTCGAGTTCTTCATTAGGCTTTCCTTCTGCAGCAGGTCCAGTGAGTTGAGCACTAAATGCATATTCAAGTACTTTCTGTTAACTTCTCTCTTATATTTTAGAACAACAATTCTAGAAATGTTCTAATATTTCCTTGGAAACATCACTGTTTTTGTTGAACTATTGACAGGCTGGATGCAAACTGTTATGAGGCCGAGTCTCCGTAACTGATGCCTAGTTTTGCAAGGCCTTGAATGTAACAGACATATTTTTTTTACATAAAAGTTCCACAATTCCAGCGTTAAGCATAATGGATAAAAGTATCCCCTCATGCAAGGTGAGTATACATATTTTAAATGTGTAACAGGGCTGGCCTTATACTTTATTGTTTAATATGTTTCATGAGTTTGAGTAGCAAAATGATTGGTTAGCTAAATTGCTAATGGTTAGCTAATTAGCCAGTATGCTAAACGGGCTCTAGAAAGGGAATAGTTTTTAACGTGTGTGTGTGTGTGTGTGTGTGTGTGTGTGTGTGTGTGTGTGTGTGATATCAATATTTCGTTGCTAACTTGCCCGTAAACTATGCTATTTCATATGTATTTTAAATCATTTCATAACACACACACAAAATGTGCCACATTAGAAACATAATTTTATGTAAATAGAAGATACATTTTTGTATCAATAATTATGACATTGTTTTAGTGTTTTTTCTGTGTTACATCAATATTGTTAGGAAAATAAGACACACTCTTTTTACTGAATTAGTATTTAGTATATTTGTCTTCCTAATTAAACGTATTTCAGTGTTTGGTTGCTAAGTCCTTCCTTCCTCCTCACTCAAGCTAGTCATCCAGATCTACTTCTGTGCAGGGATGAGCCCCTCGATGTCTCCATTGACCTCCAGCCTCTTCTCCATGGCGATGAGCAGTTTGACCCCGTCCACCACCAGCTGGGTCAGACCCACCTCGCTCAGGCCGAAGGTCGCTGTGTTGCTCACACAATACAGCGCCGGGGAATCTGCAGAATATGAAAAGGCAAGTCATAAACAAGAGTTTTCTGTTCAACTGTGAGTTGTTCAAAAATTACTTTAGGTTTGATCACTATGGAGGAGTTCAAGTCCATTGTAAAGGACAGAGAACAAGAAACCATTAGCCGATGTGTTTGCTCTTGTTATATCCCCTAATTGAAGTTGTTTTAAAATTATGCCAGTTTTATAACAGTTTATTTTATTTGCATATGGTTAATGTGCTATTTCATTTGTGTTTTACGACCGCTCTATTCATCTGCCTGTATTGTTTTGTGTTCATTTGATGGAACATTGTTCATTTTGCCCTCTTGGCCAGGTCGCTCTTGCAAAAGAGATTTTAATCTCAATGAGACTTTTACCTGGTTAAATGAAGGATATATATATACATATTTATATCAACAGAAAACATGTAAGATGTCGAAAGTCAGTAGACAATGAAAGAAGGAATTAACAACATTAATGGTTTAACTTTTCATTATAAAGTAAAAGTTGATTCCACAAACTAATGGCTTAACAATTATGAAACAGTCCGCCTTTACAATGTCTCCCTATTAGCCTATTGCTTTTTCAGGATGAGATTGGGTTTACCGGTGGGTATTGTTTTCCCCTTCAAAATAAAATAAAGAGTACATTTCTGATAGAGAGCTAAACACTGACCTGCAGTTCATCAGGTTATGTGATGAAACATGTCAGGTCTGCTCTGGTTACCTGTGGTGTCCATGCAGAGCCTCAGTCTCTTCAGGACGTCCTGCAGGCGATTGTGTTTGGGGAGGAGTTGCAGTTTGAGATTCACTCTGATCCTCAGACCTGTTCCCACGTCGGCTGGAGAGCTGCTGACCCAGCCCAGCTGCTGCTTCCAGGTGAACGGGTGTTTGAGTTCCCTGTAAAGATCCTCCAGCTGGAAACAGAGAGGAGCAAACAGTTGGAGACTCAAAGGTCCGGGATGTCAAAGGTCATTTTTTTTACTGAAGTAACTTTTTCAAGAACTCCTCCTATTGGAAGACAGAAAGATATTCTCCACCACTAACAGTATTTTGAATGTGAAGATGTTTGTGGTTTTTCACTTTGCTTATTGGTAAAACACTGTGAAAACGTGCATTTGCAAATACTGGGAAGCCAAACCCTTACCCATACTGTGTGTCATTACTTGGAGGTTTATCGTAAATAAAGTAAATCATAATTTTTAACACAAACAATGTTGATACAGATCTCTTTGATATTTACTGGGACATCTGACAGGGATAAATCAACTTGTCAGTGATCACTGGTGGATGAACTAGATTTCTTTGCTGCTATTTCTTGTTATCGGCCGCCATTAAAGATGCTAAAGTTGAGATTTCAGTATATCTGGGATCAAGGGATTTCTTCCACACAGCTGAAGCGTTGGCTACCTGCCAATGATGCTAAAAATCAGACCCATCACTGACCTTCTGCAGGTTGATGCACATGCATTTGAATGCCTCAGTGATGTTGGCGTCGTCTCGTGTGGACACAAGTCTGAGGTGGTCCTCCATGTTGACCCAGACCACCAGGCTGCCATCTTTACTCACCCTGCAGCAAAGAATAATGTGACATAAAATGTATGACAAGGAAATCTTATCAAATAAATGGAATATTGAAAAACGCAACCATAAACATTACAGGTTGATAGTGGCAGATTAACTTAGTATTCTTAAGAAGTGTGACATTTGGCGTCTTGCAGGAGTTAAATTGCTGATTTCTCTGATAACTTTACGATTTACTGTGAGAGTCATGGTTAAAAATAGTAATGCTGGATATGGAACTGTTTTTAGCCAATATCGTTAACCAATATCAGCTGTTTCTCATGATCGACTGGTGAAAAATGTCTAGACATGCTCTCTAGTAGTGTTGTAGTCGAGACCAAGACATTGTCAAGACCGAAGAGTAGCAAGACCAAGACAAGACCAAGACTTTAAGAGGTCGAGACCAAGTCAAGACCAAGACCAAGGCAGGGCGAGACCGAGTCAAGACCGGAACCAGACTACTGTGAATCCAACACTACATAATACATTTACACTACCATGTGTAAGATACCATATTCAATTTGATCTGAAAGATCAACTTCATCATAAAAAGACACACATACAGTACTTAA